AAGTGTTTGGGGTGGGCAAATTACTTGCACAAGTATAGCCACAACTATGCGGAAGTGGCTAGGCCATTATCAGATCTTCTTAAAAAGGATGTGGAATGGTGTTGGAACACCGAGCACCACGAGGCGTTTGAAGCCATTAAGTAGAGTCTTCTTCAGGCGCCAATCCTGGCTCTGCCTGATCCAGATTCCCGTTTAGCGTCGTATGTGACGCTTCGGACTTTGCCATTGGCAGTGCACTTTTGCAAGTCAACTCTGAGGGTAGAGAACGCGTCATCGCGTTTGAGTCTCGCCAGCTGAAAGCTGCAAAGTAGTACTATCCAGTTCATGGCAAGAAGCTACTTCCGATGAAGTATGCCCTTGCTAAGTTCAGGGTACACCTGTTGGGCTCAAAGCCGTTCGTGATCTATACCGATCATGCATCGTTGCGCACAGCGACACAGTCGCCTCATCTCTCGCAGAGAATGGCTCGTTGGCTCTCTTTTTTCGCGGAGTATAACTTCGAGGTGAAGTATAAGCCGGGAAAACAGAATGTTTTGGCTGACGCGTTATCGCGTAGACCTGACTATGAGCTTGCTCATCTCACCGTTGTGAGTTCGTCAGTCACGGATCGTATCCGTGTGGCATATGCACGCGATGAGGCATGTGTTGCCATTTTGCAGGCGCTGGGTAGCGCAGAGTTTGAAAACGCTAAGGTGAAGTTGTCATCACGTAATCGTGCGAGATTACATCGTTTTGCACTGACCGATGGTCTGTTGTACTATAGTACAGGGTCGGATGACCAGACTCGTGTTGAGGTGCCTCATGATGAAGACCTAAGTATCAGATACTTTATGAGGCTCATGATACACCACTTATGGGTCATTTTGGTCGTGAGAAGACCTACAGCTTGGTGAGCACCCATTATTGGTTGTCCAAGCTGTACAAATGGGTTGGTACATATGTACGGGCGTGTGAAACGTATCAAAGAGTGAAGTACTTGCCTAGTATAGCTGCGCCTTTGGCGAGTTTGCCTGTACCCTCGGGGTTGTGGCAGTCCATTTATATGGACTTTGTGTTTGGCCTACTGCGTGATGCAGCAAGCAACACTGAGATTGTGGTCTTTGTATGATCAGCTGAGCAACATGGCTCATCTAGCGGCTGTGTCGGACTTTATTGATAGAGGAGGAACAGTTAAGCTGTTTATGAATCGTGTGTTTCGACAACACGGATTGCCAGTGGCAATCGTCTCGGATAGAGAGCCCCGTTTTACGGGTAAGTTTTGGACATCCGTCTTTAAAGTGTTTGGCACTCAACTGGACATGTCCTCGGCGGATCATCCGCAGACCAATGGTCAGACTGAACGCGTCAAACGCGTTATTGGCGATATGCTTCGCAGTTTTTGTGCTGAAACACCCAAGCAATGGAGCGCGATGCTCCCGCTCATATTGTTTTCCCGTGAACAACGCGGTACATGCCTCGACAGGCTTCACCCCACTCTATGTGAATGGATTGGTTAACCCTCGCGTTCCTTTAACGCTACCCCCTGCCACATCAGGGCTTAGTTGGGGAGAGATAGCCGAAGTCTTGGCTGATATCAGCCCTGTTGCGATGCGCAAGAAGGTGGAAACGTCATGTCAACGCGATTTGACGTATACGTCGCGTAAGACGCTATGGCCGAAAGCCAGGATGTTTAGAAGGAAAACGCGGATGCCAAAGGCAGAAAGAACGACGAAGAGCTTAAAGTGGGAGATTTGGTTTGATTAAACGCTAGGAATTTACCGACACGTGCAGTGTCTGCGGTATTAAAACCAAACTGCTTCCACGCTTTAGCGGACCTTTCAAGGTCATAAGCAAGAAAGGTTTATCCTATACACTAAACCTTCCGAAGAAGATGAGAACACATCTTGTGTTCTACGTGGGCTTACTAAAGCCATACCTCAACCCTGCCTCGGTGGACTTCAAGGGGCTGTCCCCGTATTCCCGGCCGAAGGAGGCGGGAAGTACTGCACCGGAGGTGCATATGGACACTGAAGGCGTACCAAATGATCATGGATCGATGGGTCACCGACCCCCGCCAACGCTGACTGATGAGCTGGGTCATCAACAGTTTCACGTCGAGTGTCTATTGGCGCGACGTATTCATCAGGGTCACACCCAGTATCTGGTAAAGTGGAGGGGGTGCCCTTAGTCGTATGACTCATGGGAGTACGAGTTCCCCTACGGCAAGACTGCCCGGACGTCGTTGAAACTTTTGATCGGGAAGATCAGAAGCGGCGACAGCAGTCACCGGATGCTTCCTAGCACTAAGTGCTGTGGAAGCAAGGTCAGTAGTTAGGCTTTACCTCTGACCTACTTGGGAAGCAGTTGCTGGTACCGCACTCACGTAAAAGTACTATTATCCGCTTTGAAACAAGTTTACGACACTTTGGGGCTTTATATAAGCAAGTGGTAAACAATGTTGTGCTTTATAAGCAAAGTAACACTGTGGGGCTTTATATAAGCAAGTGTGAAACGCTATGAAGCTTTATCAGAAGTGTACAAAACTTTGGGATTATATAAGCAAATGTTTTTAGCACTTAAAGGCTTTTCAAAAGCAAGTGTTCAACACTGAGGTGTGTTACAAGCACGTGTTAAACATTTAGGTGCTTTATAAGCAAGTGCTGAACACGAAGGTGCTTTTAAAGCAAGTGTTTAGCGAAAATGTGCTTTATAAGCAAGTGTTGTACACTTAAATGCTTGATAAGCTATTGTTAGACACTGATATCCATTGTAGCTAGTGTTCGACACTAATATGCATTATAAGCTAGTGTTCGACACTAATGTGCATTATGAGCTAGTGTTAACATTACGGTGCTTTGTGAGCAAGTGTTACACACTTATATGCTCAGATGTTTAAAGCAAGTGTTGTGAACACTGTAATGCTTAAAATCAAGTGTTGTGAACACTGTATTGCTAAAAGCAAGTGCTAGGCACCTTGTGCTATGAAAGCAAGTGTTCGTGAACACACAATAGGTATTAATAATACCAAGTGCTTGACAATTAATGCTTATAAGCAAGTGTCGTAGCGCTAAATGCTTTAGCGTGAGTGCGATGTACTATATGCTCAAAGAGCGAGTGTCGTAACACAAGGATGCTTATAAAGCGTGTGTGCAGTGCACGGGTGCTCAAAGAGCAAGTGTTAAAAGCACAGGAGCTTTAGACGCAAGTGCAAGCATTTATTGCGAGGCAAGCAAAATAAGAAGAAAATGAAATCGATACCTCCGATTAAGTGCGAAAATTCGTGGGTACGTCGGGTCCCACGGATTGGTGGGGGGCGGGGTATAACGGGGTTACACAAAGGGGTGTATTTTACATACACACCTGCCACATTAATGTGTGTGGCTGTACCTTGGGTACAAAAGTAGGTGATGTAATCGTACCTGAAGTACGGTCGGTCACATCGTGGCAGAGAGCCACGTGGTCACTATACTTATTTAACGTATAGTGACTATGCATATTTGCATAATAATAGGCTAAAGAGCCAGTAATAGTGACTAGCACTGAGTATAGGATAAGTGCTTCTATATTTAGTGTTAAAAGATAAACATAACTATAAATCAGTTTCAAACCTGCTCTACAAGCATCACTGCAAAGCGTTCTCTTCCTTTGTTTAAGAAATTGTATCTTTAATACTAGTCTCTTTGAGACGCGGTTAATACCGAGAAGCACAAGCTTACGAGCCAGTCTAGGAGGGTTAATCACCCTAAGATGTAAAGGCTCTCTGATCTTGTCTTCCTCTGCACATAGTGCATAAGTAGCGTAGCTACGATAGCTCGGCTACAAGTTTAGAAACAGCAGCTTCCAATCGACATACCGATTACCGCCTCGATGTTCAGTTTTCGACGAAGATCGAGGCGGGAATCGGCCTGATTGACAAGGAGACAAATGCGTGCTGACACATGTCTCAAGAAAGTACCTAAGCAATTTGATTGGCATCAAAAACGTGGAAGTTTTACAGCCATAAAAGACATCAAAATCGTGGAAGTTTTGTAGCCATCAGTGACATAAAAAACGTGGAGGTTTTACAGCCATAAATGACAGCAATAAGAAGTGAGAGAGGCAAATAATCTTCTACTGGACGTAGTTAAAGTTTGCAAGATGTCTGTTAAATCCTAAGCCTGGTTAACAATGCCAGTTCCTCGCTCGAATCCAGTAGTTGTACGGGGATAGTCACCTGCAATGACGCATCGCGAGGTTGCCGTGCTATGATGCGCTGGCATAATATCAGACGTGTATTGTTGATGGACGTTTTTGCGCGTCAGCTCTCGCACTTACCGATTGCACGAAGTTGTCGCATGCCGGTTTCGTAGAACTCATGGAGCTGCCGTCCGATTCGTCAGCTTCGCCTGCTGGAACGTTGCCCGATTTCTTTGTATCCATAAGCGAGCAATGCATGAACTGCGCAGGATGATCCATAGGTGCCAGGAAACCGTCGACGTATGCGGCAGTCTCGTCGTATTAAGCACGTTTGAGCTGGCCACGGGCTCCACGTATAGCTCTGGCGCTCGCCGGCTTGCACTGTTGTGGCTAGGAAGCCATGAAACGTCCAAGCTCCCGTTGTTCTCTAGTCCATTGGTAGATGAACTTTTGCCAACATGCTTGCGCGCATGGACACGTCCAAAACATATGCCTCCACGTCTCTTTTAGTCACCGTCAGCATTGCACAACTGTTGTCGCTTGTCCTGTTTGCATGGTAGAGATTAAATGCCGTCCGCACGAAAGCATTCAAAAAACGTACAAAAACAAGCTGTCCTCAAATGACATATCAATATCATACAACCCACGTCTTTTATCAACACCAAAGCAGTCAATCCATCAATCAATCAAAAACACGCGCGTAAAATTTCAAACGCGCGTGAATTTCAAAAAGTCTCGAACCAGGCGTCCACAGCAACATTGATCATTCTCGAAAAAGCCACGTCGAGATCACGTCACTGCACCACCCCCCACCCCTCCACCACTTCCTCTCTTCTCTCTCTTCAATGGAGACACCACCACCATCATCACCAAGACCACAAGGCAGCCCATGGCTGCAAGATGATTGTAGTGATGGATATAGTACACCTACCTCACCCACGCACCACCACGCCAAAATCCTATTACGTCAACAAGAAAACGAACGGGAACAACTACGTATAGATAACTTCAATCGAGCACTACGGATCAACTACTTGGAAGAACAATTATTGCGTTTCAATCAAGGCCTTGGATTTGGAAGTGAACAACTAGAGTCGGAAGTGATTCAACTACGGTCAAGTTTAGACCAACGAGAGCGTGACTTACGACGACGTGATTCTGCTATGACACGAGCGACGCAAGCAATGGATTTGCTATCAAGCCGATTAAAAGAGGCACAAGAGCAAGTGAAACAAGCAAAGAAACACGCGCAAGACCAATTGCAAGCTCAGAGACAACAGTTTCGTCAAGAGCAACGTGACATGGAAGCGAAATTGACGGAAAAACGGCAAGCTCAAGTGGAGAATGCATACGAGAGAGAAATGTCGAGTCAAGACGCGATGCAGATGCTAGAGGTACAATTGGAACGACAAAACCAAGTTGTAAAGGCTGTAACGACACAGTTGAAAGTAATGTAGGATGCAAAACGACAGCTAGAGAATGAGATTGAACAATGTCAACGTCACCTGTCGGCCATATCGACCGCAGAATCAGCGTCGCTAAACGCTCCCCGTCGAGACACTTTTTGGTCACGGTCTTGCGCCGGCGCCATCGTGACCTTCAAGCTCACTGTGCCCTTCACATACCGAACGACTCTCTTCGCAAGCATCCAATCATGCAAGCGCGGCGCGTGTGTCTGGCGCGTGGCCTTATGCACCGCAAAGGCGATGTCGGGCATTTGTGCAGCGCGCAACCCATAGCAAGCTGCCCACGAGTGACTGGAACTCGCATATCGTTGGGCCAGACCGCTTGTTCGACGCTCCAAGCATCGCTACTCCGTCAAGATTCTCTTCATAGCAGTCGTCACCAATCAACGCGCGCACCGAGCTTGCATCCATAAGTCCGTTGGTACGCAGGAGATCGCCAATCGCCTCCTCCTGATCGATATTGTAGCCTCCGTCACCATTTAGCGTGCCTAGAAACTTGCTGACGCGGCCAAGGTCTTTGACCGACAGTAGGTGAACATCAACGTGCTTTGCCTTTAGTGACGATGCCTCTCCCGCCATCTGGCTGCTTGCCGTTTAATTGTCGATGTGAAGCTGCATAGGAACAGCCGATGCAATGCCAATCTCGCTCAGCATCTCGAGGAGGCCAAGCACTTCGCGCTTCAATTCCGAGGCAGCGACAAAATCGGCCTTCATCATTGACAGAGACACGCCGCCCTGTTTATGCGCGCCTCAACTCACTGCCATGCCGTGAAGGCGCAGCACGCTGCCGGTCATCGACTTCCTGTCTCCCCCGGCTTTATCCCACAACACGGCCTTATCGACCGCAGAATCAGCGTCGCTAAACGCTTCCCGTCGAGACACTTTTTGGTCACGGTTTTGCGCCGGCGACATCGTGACCTTCAAGCTCACTGTGCCCTTCACATACCGAACGATTCTCTTCGCAAGCATTCAATCATGCAAGCGCGGCGCGTGTGTCTGGCGCGTGGCCTTATGCACCGCAAAGGCGATTTCCTGCATTTTGCAGCGCGCAACCCATAGCAAGCTGCCCACGAGTGACTGGAACTCGCATATCGTTGGGCCAGACCGCTTGTTCGACGCTCCAAGCATCGCTACTCCGTCAAGATTCTCTTCATAGCAGTCGTCACCAATCAACGCGCGCACCGAGCTTGCATCCATAAGTCCGTTGGTACGCAGGAGATCGCCAATCGCCTCCTCCTGATCGAGATTGTAGCCTCCGTCACCATTAAGCGTGCCTAGAAACTTGCTGACGCGGCCAAGGTCTTTGACCGACAGTAGGTGAACATCAACGTGCTTTGCCTTTAGTGACGATGCCTCTCTCGCCATCTGGCTGCTTGCCGTTTAATTGTCGATGTGAAGCTGCATAGGAACAGCCGATGCAATGCCATCTCGCTCAGCATCTCGAGGAGGTCAAGCACTTCGCGCTTCAATTCCGAGGCAGCGACAAAATCGGCCTTCATCATTGACAGAGACACGCCGCCCTGTTTATGCGCGCCTCAACTCACTGCCATGCCGTGAAGGCGCAGCACGCTGCCGGTCATCGACTTCCTGTGCTTTCGCCCCCGGCTTTATCGGCCACAGAATCACTGGCCTTATCGACCGCAGAATCAGCGTCGCTAAACGCTTCCCGTCGAGACACTTTTTGGTCACGGTTTTGCGCCGGCGACATCGTGACCTTCAAGCTCACTGTGCCCTTCACATACCGAACGATTCTCTTCGCAAGCATTCAATCATGCAAGCGCGGCGCGTGTGTCTGGCGCGTGGCCTTATGCACCGCAAAGGCGATTTCCTGCTTTTTGCAGCGCGCAACCCATAGCAAGCTGCCCACGAGTGACTGGAACTCGCGTATCGTTGGGCCAGACCGCTTGTTCGACGCTCCAAGCATCGCTACTCCGTCAAGATTCTCTTCATAGCAGTCGTCACCAATCAACGCGCGCACCGAGCTTGCATCCATAAGTCCGTTGGTACGCAGGAGATCGCCAATCGCCTCCTCCTGATCGAGATTGTAGCCTCCGTCACCATTAAGCGTGCCTAGAAACTTGCTGACGCGGCCAAGGTCTTTGACCGACAGTAGGTGAACATCAACGTGCTTTGCCTTTAGTGACGATGCCTCTCTCGCAATCTGGCTGCTTGCCGTTTAATTGTCGATGTGAAGCTGCATAGGAACAGCCGATGCAATGCCATCTCGCTCAGCATCTCGAGGAGGTCAAGCACTTCGCGCTTCAATTCCGAGGCAGCGACAAAATCGGCCTTCATCATTGACAGAGACACGCCGCCCTGTTTATGCGCGCCTCAACTCACTGCCATGCCGTGAAGGCGCAGCACGCTGCCGGTCATCGACTTCCTGTGCTTTCCCCCCCGGCTTTACCCAAACCGGCCTTATCGACCGCAGAATCAGCGTCGCTAAACGCTTCCCGTCGAGACACTTTTTGGTCACGGTTTTGCGCCGGCGACATCGTGACCTTCAAGCTCACTGTGCCCTTCACATACCGAACGATTCTCTTCGCAAGCATTCAATCATGCAAGCGCGGCGCGTGTGTCTGGCGCGTGGCCTTATGCACCGCAAAGGCGATTTCCTGCTTTTTGCAGCGCGCAACCCATAGCAAGCTGCCCACGAGTGACTGGAACTCGCGTATCGTTGGGCCAGACCGCTTGTTCGACGCTCCAAGCATCGCTACTCCGTCAAGATTCTCTTCATAGCAGTCGTCACCAATCAACGCGCGCACCGAGCTTGCATCCATAAGTCCGTTGGTACGCAGGAGATCGCCAATCGCCTCCTCCTGATCGAGATTGTAGCCTCCGTCACCATTAAGCGTGCCTAGAAACTTGCTGACGCGGCCAAGGTCTTTGACCGACAGTAGGTGAACATCAACGTGCTTTGCCTTTAGTGACGATGCCTCTCTCGCCATCTGGCTGCTTGCCGTTTAATTGTCGATGTGAAGCTGCATAGGAACAGCCGATGCAATGCCATCTCGCTCAGCATCTCGAGGAGGTCAAGCACTTCGCGCTTCAATTCCGAGGCAGCGACAAAATCGGCCTTCATCATTGACAGAGACACGCCGCCCTGTTTATGCGCGCCTCAACTCACTGCCATGCCGTGAAGGCGCAGCACGCTGCCGGTCATCGACTTCCTGTCCCCCCGGCTTTATCGGCCACAAATCACTGGCCTTATCGACCGCAGAATCAGCGTCGCTAAACGCTTCTCGTCGAGACACTTTTTGGTCACGGTTTTGCGCCGGCGACATCGTGACCTTCAAGCTCACTGTGCCCTTCACATACCGAACGATTCTCTTCGCAAGCATTCAATCATGCAAGCGCGGCGCGTGTGTCTGGCGCGTGGCCTTATGCACCGCAAAGGCGATTTCCGGCATTTTGCAGCGCGCAACCCATAGCAAGCTGCCCACGAGTGACTGGAACTCGCGTATCGTTGGGCCAGACCGCTTGTTCGACGCTCCAAGCATCGCTACTCCGTCAAGATTCTCTTCATAGCAGTCGTCACCAATCAACGCGCGCACCGAGCTTGCATCCATAAGTCCGTTGGTACGCAGGAGATCGCCAATCGCCTCCTCCTGATCGAGATTGTAGCCTCCGTCACCATTAAGCGTGCCTAGAAACTTGCTGACGCGGCCAAGGTCTTTGACCGACAGTAGGTGAACATCAACGTGCTTTGCCTTTAGTGACGATGCCTCTCTCGCCATCTGGCTGCTTGCCGTTTAATTGTCGATGTGAAGCTGCATAGGAACAGCCGATGCAATGCCATCTCGCTCAGCATCTCGAGGAGGTCAAGCACTTCGCGCTTCAATTCCGAGGCAGCGACAAAATCGGCCTTCATCATTGACAGAGACACGCCGCCCTGTTTATGCGCGCCTCAACTCACTGCCATGCCGTGAAGGCGCAGCACGCTGCCGGTCATCGACTTCCTGTCCGGCTTTATCGCCACAAACACTGGCCTTATCGACCGCAGAATCAGCGTCGCTAAACGCTTCCCGTCGAGACACTTTTTGGTCACGGTTTTGCGCCGGCGACATCGTGACCTTCAAGCTCACTGTGCCCTTCACATACCGAACGATTCTCTTCGCAAGCATTCAATCATGCAAGCGCGGCGCGTGTGTCTGGCGCGTGGCCTTATGCACCGCAAAGGCGATTTCGTGCTTTTTGCAGCGCGCAACCCATAGCAAGCTGCCCACGAGTGACTGGAACTCGCGTATCGTTGGGCCAGACCGCTTGTTCGACGCTCCAAGCATCGCTACTCCGTCAAGATTCTCTTCATAGCAGTCGTCACCAATCAACGCGCGCACCGAGCTTGCATCCATAAGTCCGTTGGTACGCAGGAGATCGCCAATCGCCTCCTCCTGATCGAGATTGTAGCCTCCGTCACCATTAAGCGTGCCTAGAAACTTGCTGACGCGGCCAAGGTCTTTGACCGACAGTAGGTGAACATCAACGTGCTTTGCCTTTAGTGACGATGCCTCTCCCGCCATCTGGCTGCTTGCCGTTTAATTGTCGATGTGAAGCTGCATAGGAACAGCCGGTGCAATGCCAATCTCGCTCAGCATCTCGAGGAGGCCAAGCACTTCGCGCTTCAATTCCGAGGCAGCGACAAAATCGGCCTTCATCATTGACAGAGACACGCCGCCCTGTTTATGCGCGCCTCAACTCACTGCCATGCCGTGAAGGCGCAGCACGCTGCCGGTCATCGACTTCCTGTCCCCCCGGCTTTATCCCACAAACACTGGCCTTATCGACCGCAGAATCAGCGTCGCTAAACGCTTCCCGTCGAGACACTTTTTGGTCACGGTTTTGCGCCGGCGACATCGTGACCTTCAAGCTCACTGTGCCCTTCACATACCGAACGATTCTCTTCGCAAGCATTCAATCATGCAAGCGCGGCGCGTGTGTCTGGCGCGTGGCCTTATGCACCGCAAAGGCGATGTCGGGCTTTTTGCAGCGCGCAACCCATAGCAAGCTGCCCACGAGTGACTGGAACTCGCGTATCGTTGGGCCAGACCGCTTGTTCGACGCTCCAAGCATCGCTACTCCGTCAAGATTCTCTTCATAGCAGTCGTCACCAATCAACGCGCGCACCGAGCTTGCATCCATAAGTCCGTTGGTACGCAGGAGATCGCCAATCGCCTCCTCCTGATCGAGATTGTAGCCTCCGTCACCATTAAGCGTGCCTAGAAACTTGCTGACGCGGCCAAGGTCTTTGACCGACAGTAGGTGAACATCAACGTGCTTTGCCTTTAGTGACGATGCCTCTCCCGCCATCTGGCTGCTTGCCGTTTAATTGTCGATGTGAAGCTGCATAGGAACAGCCGGTGCAATGCCAATCTCGCTCAGCATCTCGAGGAGGCCAAGCACTTCGCGCTTCAATTCCGAGGCAGCGACAAAATCGGCCTTCATCATTGACAGAGACACGCCGCCCTGTTTATGCGCGCCTCAACTCACTGCCATGCCGTGAAGGCGCAGCACGCTGCCGGTCATCGACTTCCTGTCCCCCGGCTGCCAAGGCCTTATCGACCGCAGAATCAGCGTCGCTAAACGCTCCCCGTCGAGACACTTTTTGGTCACGGTTTTGCGCCGGCGCCATCGTGACCTTCAAGCTCACTGTGCCCTTCACATACCGAACGATTCACTTCGCAAGCATCCAATCATGCAAGCGCGGCGCGTGTGTCTGGCGCGTGGCCTTATGCACCGCAAAGGCGATGTCGGGCTTTTTGCAGCGCGCAACCCATAGCAAGCTGCCCACGAGTGACTGGAACTCGCGTATCGTTGGGCCAGACCGCTTGTTCGACGCTCCAAGCATCGCTACTCCGTCAAGATTCTCGTCATAGCAGTCGTCACCAATCAACGCGCGCACCGAGTTTGCATCCATAAGTCCGTTGGTACGCAGGAGATCGCCAATCGCCCCCTCCTGATCGATATTGTAGCCTCCGTCACCATTAAGCGTGCCTAGAAACTTGCTGACGCGGCCAAGGTCTTTGACCGACAGTAGGTGAACATCAACGTGCTTTGCCTTTAGTGACGATGCCTCTCCCGCCATCTGGCTGCTTGCCGTTTAGTTGTCGATTTGAAGCGGCATAGGAACAGCCGGTGCAATGCCAATCTCGCTCAGCATCTCGCGAAGGCCAAGCACTTCGCGCTTCAATTCCGAGACAGCGACAAAATCGGCCTTCATCATTGACAGAGACACGCCGCCCTGTTTATGCGCGCCTCAACTCACTGCCATGCCGTGAAGGCGCAGTACGCTGCCGGTCATCGACTTCCTGTCCCCGGCCTTATCGACCGCAGAATCAGCGTCGCTAAACGCTCCCCGTCGAGACACTTTTTGGTCACGGTTTTGCGCCGGCGCCATCGTGACCTTCAAGCTCACTGTGCCCTTCACATACCGAACGATTCACTTCGCAAGCATCCAATCATGCAAGCGCGGCGCGTGTGTCTGGCGCGTGGCCTTATGCACCGCAAAGGCGATGTCGGGCTTTTTGCAGCGCGCAACCCATAGCAAGCTGCCCACGAGTGACTGGAACTCGCGTATCGTTGGGCCAGACCGCTTGTTCGACGCTCCAAGCATCGCTACTCCGTCAAGATTCTCGTCATAGCAGTCGTCACCAATCAACGCGCGCACCGAGTTTGCATCCATAAGTCCGTTGGTACGCAGGAGATCGCCAATCACCCCCTCCTGATCGATATTGTAGCCTCCGTCACCATTAAGCGTGCCTAGAAACTTGCTGACGCGGCCAAGGTCTTTGATCGGCAGTAGGTGAACATCAACGTGCTTTGCCTTTAGTGACGATGCCTCGCCCGCCATCTGGCTGCTTGCCGTTTAGTTGTCGATTTGAAGCGGCATAGGAACAGCTGGTGCAATGCCAATCTCGCTCAGCATCTCGCGAAGGCCAAGCACTTCGCGCTTCAATTACGAGACAGCGACAAAATCGGCCTTCATCATTGACAGAGACACGCCGCCCTGTTTATGCGCGCCTCAACTCACTGCCATGCCGTGAAGGCGCAGTACGCTGCCGGTCATCGACTTCCTGTCCGGCCTTATCGACCGCAGAATCAGCGTCGCTAAACGCTCCCCGTCGAGACACTTTTTGGTCACGGTTTTGCGCCGGCGCCATCGTGACCTTCAAGCTCACTGTGCCCTTCACATACCGAACGATTCACTTCGCAAGCATCCAATCATGCAAGCGCGGCGCGTGTGTCTGGCGCGTGGCCTTATGCACCGCAAAGGCGATGTCGGGCTTTTTGCAGCGCGCAACCCATAGCAAGCTGCCCACGAGTGACTGGAACTCGCGTATCGTTGGGCCAGACCGCTTGTTCGACGCTCCAAGCATCGCTACTCCGTCAAGATTCTCGTCATAGCAGTCGTCACCAATCAACGCGCGCACCGAGTTTGCATCCATAAGTCCGTTGGTACGCAGGAGATCGCCAATCACCCCCTCCTGATCGATATTGTAGCCTCCGTCACCATTAAGCGTGCCTAGAAACTTGCTGACGCGGCCAAGGTCTTTGATAGGCAGTAGGTGAACATCAACGTGCTTTGCCTTTAGTGACGATGCCTCGTCAGCCAATCTGGCTGCTTGCCGTTTAGTTGTCGATTTGAAGCGGCATAGGAACAGCTGGTGCAATGCCAATCTCGCTCAGCATCTCGCGAAGGCCAAGCACTTCGCGCTTCAATTACGAGACAGCGACAAAATCGGCCTTCATCATTGACAGAGACACGCCGCCCTGTTTATGCGCGCCTCGACTCACTGCCATGCCGTGAAGGCGCAGTACGCTGCCGGTCATCGACTTCCTGTCCGGCCTTATCGACCGCAGAATCAGCGTCGCTAAACGCTCCCCGTCGAGACACTTTTTGGTCACGGTTTTGCGCCGGCGCTATCGTGACCTTCAAGCTCACTGTGCCCTTCACATACCGAACGATTCACTTCGCAAGCATCCAATCATGCAAGCGCGGCGCGTGTGTCTGGCGCGTGGCCTTATGCACCGCAAAGGCGATGTCGGGCTTTTTGCAGCGCGCAACCCATAGCAAGCTGCCCACGAGTGACTGGAACTCGCGTATCGTTGGGCCAGACCGCTTGTTCGACGCTCCAAGCATCGCTACTCCGTCAAGATTCTCGTCATAGCAGTCGTCACCAATCAACGCGCGCACCGAGTTTGCATCCATAAGTCCGTTGGTACGCAGGAGATTGCCAATCACCCCCTCCTGATCGATATTGTAGCCTCCGTCACCATTAAGCGTGCCTAGAAACTTGCTGACGCGGCCAAGGTCTTTGATAGGCAGTAGGTGAACATCAACGTGCTTTGCCTTTAGTGACGATGCCTCGCCAGCCATCTGGCTGCTTGCCGTTTAGTTATCTATTTGAAGCGGCATAGGAACAGCTGGTGCAATGCCAATCTCGCTCAGCATCTCGCGAAGGCCAAGCACTTCGCGCTTCAATTACGAGACAGCGACAAAATCGGCCTTCATCATTGACAGAGACACGCCGCCCTGTTTATGCGCGCCTCGACTCACTGCCATGCCGTGAAGGCGAAGTACGCTGCCGGTCATCGACTTCCTGTCCGGCCTTATCGACCGCAGAATCAGCGTTGCTAAACGCTCCCCGTCGAGACACTTTTTGGTCACGGTTTTGCGCCGGCGCTATCGTGACCTTCAAGCTCACTGTGCCCTTCACATACCGAACGATTCACTTCGCAAGCATCCAATCATGCAAGCGCGGCGCGTGTGTCTGGCGCGTGGCCTTATGCACCGCAAAGGCGATGTCGGGCTTTTTGCAGCGCGCAACCCATAGCAAGCTGCCCACGAGTGACTGGAACTCGCGTATCGTTGGGCCAGACCGCTTGTTCGACGCTCCAAGCATCGCTACTCCGTCAAGATTCTCGTCATAGCAGTCGTCACCAATCAACGCGCGCACCGAGTTTGCATCCATAAGTCCGTTGGTACGCAGGAGATTGCCAATCACCCCCTCCTGATCGATATTGTAGCCTCCGTCACCATTAAGCGTGCCTAGAAACTTGCTGACGCGGCCAAGGTCTTTGATAGGCAGTAGGTGAACATCAACGTGCTTTGCCTTTAGTGACGATGCCTCGACAGCCATCTGGCTGCTTGCCGTTTAGTTATCTATTTGAAGCGGCATAGGAACAGCTGGTGCAATGCCAATCTCGCTCAGCATCTCGCGAAGGCCAAGCACTTCGCGCTTCAATTACGAGACAGCGACAAAATCGGCCTTCATCATTGACAGAGACACGCCGCCCTGTTTATGCGCGCCTCGACTCACTGCCATGCCGTGAAGGCGAAGTACGCTGCCGGTCATCGACTTCCTGTCGGCCTTATCGACCGCAGAATCAGCGTTGCTAAACGCTCCCCGTCGAGACACTTTTTGGTCACGGTTTTGCGCCGGCGCTATCGTGACCTTCAAGCTCACTGTGCCCTTCACATACCGAACGATTCACTTCGCAAGCATCCAATCATGCAAGCGCGGCGCGTGTGTCTGGCGCGTGGCCTTATGCACCGCAAAGGCGATGTCGGGCTTTTTGCAGCGCGCAACCCATAGCAAGCTGCCCACGAGTGACTGGAACTCGCGTATCGTTGGGCCAGACCGCTTGTTCGACGCTCCAAGCATCGCTACTCCGTCAAGATTCTCGTCATAGCAGTCGTCACCAATCAACGCGCGCACCGAGTTTGCATCCTTAAGTCCGTTGGTACGCAGGAGATTGCCAATCACCCTCCTCCTGATCGATATTGTAGCCTCCGTCACCATTAAGCGTGCCTAGAAACTTGCTGACGCGGCCAAGGTCTTTGATAGGCAGTAAGTGAACATCAACGTGCTTTGCCTTTAGTGACGATGCCTCGACAGCCATCTGGCTGCTTGCCGTTTAGTTATCTATTTGAAGCGGCATAGGAACAGCTGGTGCAATGCCAATCTCGCTCAGCATCTCGCGAAGGCCAAGCACTTCGCGCTTCAATTACGAGACAGCGACAAAATCGGCCTTCATCATTGACAGAGACACGCCGCCCTGTTTATGCGCGCCTCGACTCACTGCCATGCCGTGAAGGCGAAGTACGCTGCCGGTCATCGACTTCCTGTCGGCCTTATCGACCGCAGAATCAGCGTTGCTAAACGCTCCCCGTCGAGACACTTTTTGGTCACGGTTTTGCGCCGGCGCTATCGTGACCTTCAAGCTCACTGTGCCCTTCACATACCGAACGATTCACTTCGCAAGCATCCAATCATGCAAGCGCGGCGCGTGTGTCTGGCGCGTGGCCTTATGCACCGCAAAGGCGATGTCGGGCTTTTTGCAGCGCGCAACCCATAGCAAGCTGCCCACGAGTGACTGGAACTCGCGTATCGTTGGGCCAGACCGCTTGTTCGACGCTCCAAGCATCGCTACTCCGTCAAGATTCTCGTCATAGCAGTCGTCACCAATCAACGCGCGCACCGAGTTTGCATCCTTAAGTCCTTTGGTACGCAGGAGATTGCCAATTACCCCCTCCTGATCGATATTGTAGCCTCCGTCACCATTAAGCGTGCCTAGAAACTTGCTGACGCGGCCAAGGTCTTTGATAGGCAGTAAGTGAACATCAACGTGCTTTGCCTTTAGTGACGATGCCTCGACAGCCATCTGGCTGCTTGCCGTTTAGTTATCTACTTGAAGCGGCATAGGAACAGCTGGTGCAATGCCAATCTCGCTCAGCATCTCGCGAAGGCCAAGCACTTCGCGCTTCAATTACGAGACAGCGACAAAATCGGCCTTCATCATTGACAGAGACACGCCGCCCTGTTTATGCGCGCCTCGACTCACTGCCATGCCGTGAAGGCGAAGTACGCTGCCGGTCATCGACTTCCTGTCGGCCTTATCGACCGCAGAATCAGCGTTGCTAAACGCTCCCCGTCGAGACACTTTTTGGTCACGGTTTTGCGCCGGCGCTATCGTGACCTTCAAGCTCACTGTGCCCTTCACATACCGAACGATTCACTTCGCAAGCATCCAATCATGCAAGCGCGGCGCGTGTGTCTGGCGCGTGGCCTTATGCACCGCAAAGGCGATGTCGGGCTTTTTGCAGCGCGCAACCCATAGCAAGCTGCCCACGAGTGACTGGAACTCGCGTATCGTTGGGCCAGACCGCTTGTTCGACGCTCCAAGCATCGCTACTCCGTCAAGATTCTCGTCATAGCAGTCGTCACCAATCAACGCGCGCACCGAGTTTGCATCCTTAAGTCCTTTGGTACGCAGGAGATTGCCAATTACCCTCCTCCTGATCGATATTGTAGCCTCCGTCACCATTAAGCGTGCCTAGAAACTTGCTGACGCGGCCAAGGTCTTGATAGGCAGTAAGTGAACATCAACGTGCTTTGCCTTTAGTGACGATGCCTCGACAGCCATCTGGCTGCTTGCCGTTTAGTTATCTACTTGAAGCGGCATAGGAACAGCTGGTGCAATGCCAATCTCGCTCAGCATCTCGCGAAGGCCAAGCACTTCGCGCTTCAATTACGAGACAGCGACAAAATCGGCCTTCATCATTGACAGAGACACGCCGCCCTGTTTATGCGCGCCTCGACTCACTGCCATGCCGTGAAGGCGAAGTACGCTGCCGGTCATCGACTTCCTGTCGGCCTTATCGACCGCAGAATCAGCGTTGCTAAACGCTCCCCGTCGAGACACTTTTTGGTCACGGTTTTGCGCCGGCGCTATCGTGACCTTCAAGCTCACTGTGCCCTTCACATACCGAACGATTCACTTCGCAAGCATCCAATCATGCAAGCGCGGCGCGTGTGTCTGGCGCGTGGCCTTATGCACCGCAAAGGCGATGTCGGGCTTTTTGCAGCGCGCAACCCATAGCAAGCTGCCCACGAGTGACTGGAACTCGCGTATCGTTGGGCCAGACCGCTTGTTCGACGCTCCAAGCATCGCTACTCCGTCAAGATTCTCGTCATAGCAGTCGTCACCAATCAACGCGCGCACCGAGTTTGCATCCTTAAGTCCTTTGGTACGCAGGAGATTGCCAATTACCCCCTCCTGATCGATATTGTAGCCTCCGTCACCATTAAGCGTGCCTAGAAACTTGCTGACGCGGCCAAGGTCTTGATAGGCAGTAAGTGAACATCAACGTGCTTTGCCTTTAGTGACGATGCCTCGACAGCCATCTGGCTGCTTGCCGTTTAGTTATCTACTTGAAGCGGCATAGGAACAGCTGGTGCAATGCCAATCTCGCTCAGCATCTCGCGAAGGCCAAGCACTTCGCGCTTCAATTACGAGACAGCGACAAAATCGGCCTTCATCATTGACAGAGACACGCCGCCCTGTTTATGCGCGCCTCGACTCACTGCCATGCCGTGAAGGCGAAGTACGCTGCCGGTCATCGACTTCCTGTCGGCCTTATCGACCGCAGAATCAGCGTTGCTAAACGCTCCCCGTCGAGACACTTTTTGGTCACGGTTTTGCGCCGGCGCTATCGTGACCTTCAAGCTCACTGTGCCCTTCACATACCGAACGATTCACTTCGCAAGCATCCAATCATGCAAGCGCGGCGCGTGTGTCTGGCGCGTGGCCTTATGCACCGCAAAGGCGATGTCGGGCTTTTTGCAGCGCGCAACCCATAGCAAGCTGCCCACGAGTGACTGGAACTCGCGTATCGTTGGGCCAGACCGCTTGTTCGACGCTCCAAGCATCGCTACTCCGTCAAGATTCTCGTCATAGCAGTCGTCACCAATCAACGCGCGCACCGAGTTTGCATCCTTAAGTCCTTTGGTACGCAGGAGATTGCCAATTACCCCCTCCTGATCGATATTGTAGCCTCCGTCACCATTAAGCGTGCCTAGAAACTTGCTGACGCGGCCAAGGTCTTGATAGGCAGTAAGTGAACATCAACGTGCTTTGCCTTTAGTGACGATGCCTCGACAGCCATCTGGCTGCTTGCCGTTTAGTTATCTACTTGAAGCGGCATAGGAACAGCTGGTGCAATGCCAATCTCGCTCAGCATCTCGCGAAGGCCAAGCACTTCGCGCTTCAATTACGAGACAGCGACAAAATCGGCCTTCATCATTGACAGAGACACGCCGCCCTGTTTATGCGCGCCTCGACTCACTGCCATGCCGTGAAGGCGAAGTACGCTGCCGGTCATCGACTTCCTGTCGGCCTTATCGACCGCAGAATCAGCGTTGCTAAACGCTCCCCGTCGAGACACTTTTTGGTCACGGTTTTGCGCCGGCGCTATCGTGACCTTCAAGCTCACTGTGCCCTTCACATACCGAACGATTCACTTCGCAAGCATCCAATCATGCAAGCGCGGCGCGTGTGTCTGGCGCGTGGCCTTATGCACCGCAAAGGCGATGTCGGGCTTTTTGCAGCGCGCAACCCATAGCAAGCTGCCCACGAGTGACTGGAACTCGCGTATCGTTGGGCCAGACCGCTTGTTCGACGCTCCAAGCATCGCTACTCCGTCAAGATTCTCGTCATAGCAGTCGTCACCAATCAACGCGCGCACCGAGTTTGCATCCTTAAGTCCTTTGGTACGCAGGAGATTGCCAATTACCCCCTCCTGATCGATATTGTAGCCTCCGTCACCATTAAGCGTGCCTAGAAACTTGCTGACGCGGCCAAGGTCTTGATAGGCAGTAAGTGAACATCAACGTGCTTTGCCTTTAGTGACGATGCCTCGACAGCCATCTGGCTGCTTGCCGTTTAGTTATCTACTTGAAGCGGCATAGGAACAGCTGGTGCAATGCCAATCTCGCTCAGCATCTCGCGAAGGCCAAGCACTTCGCGCTTCAATTACGAGACAGCGACAAAATCGGCCTTCATCATTGACAGAGACACGCCGCCCTGTTTATGCGCGCCTCGACTCACTGCCATGCCGTGAAGGCGAAGTACGCTGCCGGTCATCGACTTCCTGTCGGCCTTATCGACCGCAGAATCAGCGTTGCTAAACGCTCCCCGTCGAGACACTTTTTGGTCACGGTTTTGCGCCGGCGCTATCGTGACCTTCAAGCTCACTGTGCCCTTCACATACCGAACGATTCACTTCGCAAGCATCCAATCATGCAAGCGCGGCGCGTGTGTCTGGCGCGTGGCCTTATGCACCGCAAAGGCGATGTCGGGCTTTTTGCAGCGCGCAACCCATAGCAAGCTGCCCACGAGTGACTGGAACTCGCGTATCGTTGGGCCAGACCGCTTGTTCGACGCTCCAAGCATCGCTACTCCGTCAAGATTCTCGTCATAGCAGTCGTCACCAATCAACGCGCGCACCGAGTTTGCATCCTTAAGTCCTTTGGTACGCAGGAGATTGCCAATTACCCCCTCCTGATCGATATTGTAGCCTCCGTCACCATTAAGCGTGCCTAGAAACTTGCTGACGCGGCCAAGGTCTTGATAGGCAGTAAGTGAACATCAACGTGCTTTGCCTTTAGTGACGATGCCTCGACAGCCATCTGGCTGCTTGCCGTTTAGTTATCTACTTGAAGCGGCATAGGAACAGCTGGTGCAATGCCAATCTCGCTCAGCATCTCGCGAAGGCCAAGCACTTCGCGCTTCAATTACGAGACAGCGACAAAATCGGCCTTCATCATTGACAGAGACACGCCGCCCTGTTTATGCGCGCCTCGACTCACTGCCATGCCGTGAAGGCGAAGTACGCTGCCGGTCATCGACTTCCTGTCGGCCTTATCGACCGCAGAATCAGCGTTGCTAAACGCTCCCCGTCGAGACACTTTTTGGTCACGGTTTTGCGCCGGCGCTATCGTGACCTTCAAGCTCACTGTGCCCTTCACATACCGAACGATTCACTTCGCAAGCATCCAATCATGCAAGCGCGGCGCGTGTGTCTGGCGCGTGGCCTTATGCACCGCAAAGGCGATGTCGGGCTTTTTGCAGCGCGCAACCCATAGCAAGCTGCCCACGAGTGACTGGAACTCGCGTATCGTTGGGCCAGACCGCTTGTTCGACGCTCCAAGCATCGCTACTCCGTCAAGATTCTCGTCATAGCAGTCGTCACCAATCAACGCGCGCACCGAGTTTGCATCCTTAAGTCCTTTGGTACGCAGGAGATTGCCAATTACCCCCTCCTGATCGATATTGTAGCCTCCGTCACCATTAAGCGTGCCTAGAAACTTGCTGACGCGGCCAAGGTCTTGATAGGCAGTAAGTGAACATCAACGTGCTTTGCCTTTAGTGACGATGCCTCGACAGCCATCTGGCTGCTTGCCGTTTAGTTATCTACTTGAAGCGGCATAGGAACAGCTGGTGCAATGCCAATCTCGCTCAGCATCTCGCGAAGGCCAAGCACTTCGCGCTTCAATTACGAGACAGCGACAAAATCGGCCTTCATCATTGACAGAGACACGCCGCCCTGTTTATGCGCGCCTCGACTCACTGCCATGCCGTGAAGGCGAAGTACGCTGCCGGTCATCGACTTCCTGTCGGCCTTATCGACCGCAGAATCAGCGTTGCTAAACGCTCCCCGTCGAGACACTTTTTGGTCACGGTTTTGCGCCGGCGCTATCGTGACCTTCAAGCTCACTGTGCCCTTCACATACCGAACGATTCACTTCGCAAGCATCCAATCATGCAAGCGCGGCGCGTGTGTCTGGCGCGTGGCCTTATGCACCGCAAAGGCGATGTCGGGCTTTTTGCAGCGCGCAACCCATAGCAAGCTGCCCACGAGTGACTGGAACTCGCGTATCGTTGGGCCAGACCGCTTGTTCGACGCTCCAAGCATCGCTACTCCGTCAAGATTCTCGTCATAGCAGTCGTCACCAATCAACGCGCGCACCGAGTTTGCATCCTTAAGTCCTTTGGTACGCAGGAGATTGCCAATTACCCCCTCCTGATCGATATTGTAGCCTCCGTCACCATTAAGCGTGCCTAGAAACTTGCTGACGCGGCCAAGGTCTTGATAGGCAGTAAGTGAACATCAACGTGCTTTGCCTTTAGTGACGATGCCTCGACAGCCATCTGGCTGCTTGCCGTTTAGTTATCTACTTGAAGCGGCATAGGAACAGCTGGTGCAATGCCAATCTCGCTCAGCATCTCGCGAAGGCCAAGCACTTCGCGCTTCAATTACGAGACAGCGACAAAATCGGCCTTCATCATTGACAGAGACACGCCGCCCTGTTTATGCGCGCCTCGACTCACTGCCATGCCGTGAAGGCGAAGTACGCTGCCGGTCATCGACTTCCTGTCGGCCTTATCGACCGCAGAATCAGCGTTGCTAAACGCTCCCCGTCGAGACACTTTTTGGTCACGGTTTTGCGCCGGCGCTATCGTGACCTTCAAGCTCACTGTGCCCTTCACATACCGAACGATTCACTTCGCAAGCATCCAATCATGCAAGCGCGGCGCGTGTGTCTGGCGCGTGGCCTTATGCACCGCAAAGGCGATGTCGGGCTTTTTGCAGCGCGCAACCCATAGCAAGCTGCCCACGAGTAACTGGAACTCGCGTATCGTTGGGCCAGACCGCTTGTTCGACGCTCCAAGCATCTCTACTCCGTCAAGATTCTCGTCATAGCAGTCGTCACCAATCAACGCGCGCACCGAGTTTGCATCCTTAAGTCCTTTGGTACGCAGGAGATTGCCAATTACCCCCTCCTGATCGATATTGTAGCCTCCGTCACCATTAAGCGTGCCTAGAAACTTGCTGACGCGGCCAAGGTCTTGATAGGCAGTAAGTGAACATCAACGTGCTTTGCCTTTAGTGACGATGCCTCGACAGCCATCTGGCTGCTTGCCGTTTAGTTATCTACTTGAAGCGGCATAGGAACAGCTGGTGCAATGCCAATCTCGCTCAGCATCTCGCGAAGGCCAAGCACTTCGCGCTTCAATTACGAGACAGCGACAAAATCGGCCTTCATCATTGACAGAGACACGCCGCCCTGTTTATGCGCGCCTCGACTCACTGCCATGCCGTGAAGGCGAAGTACGCTGCCGGTCATCGACTTCCTGTCGGCCTTATCGACCGCAGAATCAGCGTTGCTAAACGCTCCCCGTCGAGACACTTTTTGGTCACGGTTTTGCGCCGGCGCTATCGTGACCTTCAAGCTCACTGTGCCCTTCACATACCGAACGATTCACTTCGCAAGCATCCAATCATGCAAGCGCGGCGCGTGTGTCTGGCGCGTGGCCTTATGCACCGCAAAGGCGATGTCGGGCTTTTTGCAGCGCGCAACCCATAGCAAGCTGCCCACGAGTAACTGGAACTCGCGTATCGTTGGGCCAGACCGCTTGTTCGACGCTCCAAGCATCTCTACTCCGTCAAGATTCTCGTCATAGCAGTCGTCACCAATCAACGCGCGCACCGAGTTTGCATCCTTAAGTCCTTTGGTACGCAGGAGATTGCCAATTACCCCCTCCTGATCGATATTGTAGCCTCCGTCACCATTAAGCGTGCCTAGAAACTTGCTGACGCGGCCAAGGTCTTGATAGGCAGTAAGTGAACATCAACGTGCTTTGCCTTTAGTGACGATGCCTCGACAGCCATCTGGCTGCTTGCCGTTTAGTTATCTACTTGAAGCGGCATAGGAACAGCTGGTGCAATGCCAATCTCGCTCAGCATCTCGCGAAGGCCAAGCACTTCGCGCTTCAATTAATCGAGACAGCGACAAAATCGGCCTTCATCATTGACAGAGACACGCCGCCCTGTTTATGCGCGCCTCGACTCACTGCCATGCCGTGAAGGCGAAGTACGCTGCCGGTCATCGACTTCCTGTCGGCCTTATCGACCGCAGAATCAGCGTTGCTAAACGCTCCCCGTCGAGACACTTTTTGGTCACGGTTTTGCGCCGGCGCTATCGTGACCTTCAAGCTCACTGTGCCCTTCACATACCGAACGATTCACTTCGCAAGCATCCAATCATGCAAGCGCGGCGCGTGTGTCTGGCGCGTGGCCTTATGCACCGCAAAGGCGATGTCGGGCTTTTTGCAGCGCGCAACCCATAGCAAGCTGCCCACGAGTAACTGGAACTCGCGTATCGTTGGGCCAGACCGCTTGTTCGACGCTCCAAGCATCTCTACTCCGTCAAGATTCTCGTCATAGCAGTCGTCACCAATCAACGCGCGCACCGAGTTTGCATCCTTAAGTCCTTTGGTACGCAGGAGATTGCCAATTACCCCCTCCTGATCGATATTGTAGCCTCCGTCACCATTTAGCGGTGCCTAGAAACTTGCTGACGCGGCCAAGGTCTTGATAGGCAGTAAGTGAACATCAACGTGCTTTGCCTTTAGTGACGATGCCTCGACAGCCATCTGGCTGCTTGCCGTTTAGTTATCTACTTGAAGCGGCATAGGAACAGCTGGTGCAATGCCAATCTCGCTCAGCATCTCGCGAAGGCCAAGCACTTCGCGCTTCAATTACGAGACAGCGACAAAATCGGCCTTCATCATTGACAGAGACACGCCGCCCTGTTTATGCGCGCCTCGACTCACTGCCATGCCGTGAAGGCGAAGTACGCTGCCGGTCATCGACTTCCTGTCGGCCTTATCGACCGCAGAATCAGCGTTGCTAAACGCTCCCCGTCGAGACACTTTTTGGTCACGGTTTTGCGCCGGCGCTATCGTGACCTTCAAGCTCACTGTGCCCTTCACATACCGAACGATTCACTTCGCAAGCATCCAATCATGCAAGCGCGGCGCGTGTGTCTGGCGCGTGGCCTTATGCACCGCAAAGGCGATGTCGGGCTTTTTGCAGCGCGCAACCCATAGCAAGCTGCCCACGAGTAACTGGAACTCGCGTATCGTTGGGCCAGACCGCTTGTTCGACGCTCCAAGCATCTCTACTCCGTCAAGATTCTCGTCATAGCAGTCGTCACCAATCAACGCGCGCACCGAGTTTGCATCCTTAAGTCCTTTGGTACGCAGGAGATTGCCAATTACCCCCTCCTGATCGATATTGTAGCCTCCGTCACCATTTTGCGGTGCCTAGAAACTTGCTGACGCGGCCAAGGTCTTGATAGGCAGTAAGTGAACATCAACGTGCTTTGCCTTTAGTGACGATGCCTCGACAGCCATCTGGCTGCTTGCCGTTTAGTTATCTACTTGAAGCGGCATAGGAACAGCTGGTGCAATGCCAATCTCGCTCAGCATCTCGCGAAGGCCAAGCACTTCGCGCTTCAATTACGAGACAGCGACAAAATCGGCCTTCATCATTGACAGAGACACGCCGCCCTGTTTATGCGCGCCTCGACTCACTGCCATGCCGTGAAGGCGAAGTACGCTGCCGGTCATCGACTTCCTGTCGGCCTTATCGACCGCAGAATCAGCGTTGCTAAACGCTCCCCGTCGAGACACTTTTTGGTCACGGTTTTGCGCCGGCGCTATCGTGACCTTCAAGCTCACTGTGCCCTTCACATACCGAACGATTCACTTCGCAAGCATCCAATCATGCAAGCGCGGCGCGTGTGTCTGGCGCGTGGCCTTATGCACCGCAAAGGCGATGTCGGGCTTTTTGCAGCGCGCAACCCATAGCAAGCTGCCCACGAGTAACTGGAACTCGCGTATCGTTGGGCCAGACCGCTTGTTCGACGCTCCAAGCATCTCTACTCCGTCAAGATTCTCGTCATAGCAGTCGTCACCAATCAACGCGCGCACCGAGTTTGCATCCTTAAGTCCTTTGGTACGCAGGAGATTGCCAATTACCCCCTCCTGATCGATATTGTAGCCTCCGTCACCATTTTGCGGTGCCTAGAAACTTGCTGACGCGGCCAAGGTCTTGATAGGCAGTAAGTGAACATCAACGTGCTTTGCCTTTAGTGACGATGCCTCGACAGCCATCTGGCTGCTTGCCGTTTAGTTATCTACTTGAAGCGGCATAGGAACAGCTGGTGCAATGCCAATCTCGCTCAGCATCTCGCGAAGGCCAAGCACTTCGCGCTTCAATTACGAGACAGCGACAAAATCGGCCTTCATCATTGACAGAGACACGCCGCCCTGTTTATGCGCGCCTCGACTCACTGCCATGCCGTGAAGGCGAAGTACGCTGCCGGTCATCGACTTCCTGTCGGCCTTATCGACCGCAGAATCAGCGTTGCTAAACGCTCCCCGTCGAGACACTTTTTGGTCACGGTTTTGCGCCGGCGCTATCGTGACCTTCAAGCTCACTGTGCCCTTCACATACCGAACGATTCACTTCGCAAGCATCCAATCATGCAAGCGCGGCGCGTGTGTCTGGCGCGTGGCCTTATGCACCGCAAAGGCGATGTCGGGCTTTTTGCAGCGCGCAACCCATAGCAAGCTGCCCACGAGTAACTGGAACTCGCGTATCGTTGGGCCAGACCGCTTGTTCGACGCTCCAAGCATCTCTACTCCGTCAAGATTCTCGTCATAGCAGTCGTCACCAATCAACGCGCGCACCGAGTTTGCATCCTTAAGTCCTTTGGTACGCAGGAGATTGCCAATTACCCCCTCCTGATCGATATTGTAGCCTCCGTCACCATTTAGCGGTGCCTAGAAACTTGCTGACGCGGCCAAGGTCTTGATAGGCAGTAAGTGAACATCAACGTGCTTTGCCTTTAGTGACGATGCCTCGACAGCCATCTGGCTGCTTGCCGTTTAGTTATCTACTTGAAGCGGCATAGGAACAGCTGGTGCAATGCCAATCTCGCTCAGCATCTCGCGAAGGCCAAGCACTTCGCGCTTCAATTACGAGACAGCGACAAAATCGGCCTTCATCATTGACAGAGACACGCCGCCCTGTTTATGCGCGCCTCGACTCACTGCCATGCCGTGAAGGCGAAGTACGCTGCCGGTCATCGACTTCCTGTCGGCCTTATCGACCGCAGAATCAGCGTTGCTAAACGCTCCCCGTCGAGACACTTTTTGGTCACGGTTTTGCGCCGGCGCTATCGTGACCTTCAAGCTCACTGTGCCCTTCACATACCGAACGATTCACTTCGCAAGCATCCAATCATGCAAGCGCGGCGCGTGTGTCTGGCGCGTGGCCTTATGCACCGCAAAGGCGATGTCGGGCTTTTTGCAGCGCGCAACCCATAGCAAGCTGCCCACGAGTAACTGGAACTCGCGTATCGTTGGGCCAGACCGCTTGTTCGACGCTCCAAGCATCTCTACTCCGTCAAGATTCTCGTCATAGCAGTCGTCACCAATCAACGCGCGCACCGAGTTTGCATCCTTAAGTCCTTTGGTACGCAGGAGATTGCCAATTACCCCCTCCTGATCGATATTGTAGCCTCCGTCACCATTTTGCGGTGCCTAGAAACTTGCTGACGCGGCCAAGGTCTTGATAGGCAGTAAGTGAACATCAACGTGCTTTGCCTTTAGTGACGATGCCTCGACAGCCATCTGGCTGCTTGCCGTTTAGTTATCTACTTGAAGCGGCATAGGAACAGCTGGTGCAATGCCAATCTCGCTCAGCATCTCGCGAAGGCCAAGCACTTCGCGCTTCAATTACGAGACAGCGACAAAATCGGCCTTCATCATTGACAGAGACACGCCGCCCTGTTTATGCGCGCCTCGACTCACTGCCATGCCGTGAAGGCGAAGTACGCTGCCGGTCATCGACTTCCTGTCGGCCTTATCGACCGCAGAATCAGCGTTGCTAAACGCTCCCCGTCGAGACACTTTTTGGTCACGGTTTTGCGCCGGCGCTATCGTGACCTTCAAGCTCACTGTGCCCTTCACATACCGAACGATTCACTTCGCAAGCATCCAATCATGCAAGCGCGGCGCGTGTGTCTGGCGCGTGGCCTTATGCACCGCAAAGGCGATGTCGGGCTTTTTGCAGCGCGCAACCCATAGCAAGCTGCCCACGAGTAACTGGAACTCGCGTATCGTTGGGCCAGACCGCTTGTTCGACGCTCCAAGCATCTCTACTCCGTCAAGATTCTCGTCATAGCAGTCGTCACCAATCAACGCGCGCACCGAGTTTGCATCCTTAAGTCCTTTGGTACGCAGGAGATTGCCAATTACCCCCTCCTGATCGATATTGTAGCCTCCGTCACCATTTTGCGGTGCCTAGAAACTTGCTGACGCGGCCAAGGTCTTGATAGGCAGTAAGTGAACATCAACGTGCTTTGCCTTTAGTGACGATGCCTCGACAGCCATCTGGCTGCTTGCCGTTTAGTTATCTACTTGAAGCGGCATAGGAACAGCTGGTGCAATGCCAATCTCGCTCAGCATCTCGCGAAGGCCAAGCACTTCGCGCTTCAATTACGAGACAGCGACAAAATCGGCCTTCATCATTGACAGAGACACGCCGCCCTGTTTATGCGCGCCTCGACTCACTGCCATGCCGTGAAGGCGAAGTACGCTGCCGGTCATCGACTTCCTGTCGGCCTTATCGACCGCAGAATCAGCGTTGCTAAACGCTCCCCGTCGAGACACTTTTTGGTCACGGTTTTGCGCCGGCGCTATCGTGACCTTCAAGCTCACTGTGCCCTTCACATACCGAACGATTCACTTCGCAAGCATCCAATCATGCAAGCGCGGCGCGTGTGTCTGGCGCGTGGCCTTATGCACCGCAAAGGCGATGTCGGGCTTTTTGCAGCGCGCAACCCATAGCAAGCTGCCCACGAGTAACTGGAACTCGCGTATCGTTGGGCCAGACCGCTTGTTCGACGCTCCAAGCATCTCTACTCCGTCAAGATTCTCGTCATAGCAGTCGTCACCAATCAACGCGCGCACCGAGTTTGCATCCTTAAGTCCTTTGGTACGCAGGAGATTGCCAATTACCCCCTCCTGATCGATATTGTAGCCTCCGTCACCATTTTGCGCGTATGCCTAGAAACTTGCTGACGCGGCCAAGGTCTTGATAGGCAGTAAGTGAACATCAACGTGCTTTGCCTTTAGTGACGATGCCTCGACAGCCATCTGGCTGCTTGCCGTTTAGTTATCTACTTGAAGCGGCATAGGAACAGCTGGTGCAATGCCAATCTCGCTCAGCATCTCGCGAAGGCCAAGCACTTCGCGCTTCAATTACGAGACAGCGACAAAATCGGCCTTCATCATTGACAGAGACACGCCGCCCTGTTTATGCGCGCCTCGACTCACTGCCATGCCGTGAAGGCGAAGTACGCTGCCGGTCATCGACTTCCTGTCGGCCTTATCGACCGCAGAATCAGCGTTGCTAAACGCTCCCCGTCGAGACACTTTTTGGTCACGGTTTTGCGCCGGCGCTATCGTGACCTTCAAGCTCACTGTGCCCTTCACATACCGAACGATTCACTTCGCAAGCATCCAATCATGCAAGCGCGGCGCGTGTGTCTGGCGCGTGGCCTTATGCACCGCAAAGGCGATGTCGGGCTTTTTGCAGCGCGCAACCCATAGCAAGCTGCCCACGAGTAACTGGAACTCGCGTATCGTTGGGCCAGACCGCTTGTTCGACGCTCCAAGCATCTCTACTCCGTCAAGATTCTCGTCATAGCAGTCGTCACCAATCAACGCGCGCACCGAGTTTGCATCCTTAAGTCCTTTGGTACGCAGGAGATTGCCAATTACCCCCTCCTGATCGATATTGTAGCCTCCGTCACCATTTTGCGCGATTGCCTAGAAACTTGCTGACGCGGCCAAGGTCTTGATAGGCAGTAAGTGAACATCAACGTGCTTTGCCTTTAGTGACGATGCCTCGACAGCCATCTGGCTGCTTGCCGTTTAGTTATCTACTTGAAGCGGCATAGGAACAGCTGGTGCAATGCCAATCTCGCTCAGCATCTCGCGAAGGCCAAGCACTTCGCGCTTCAATTACGAGACAGCGACAAAATCGGCCTTCATCATTGACAGAGACACGCCGCCCTGTTTATGCGCGCCTCGACTCACTGCCATGCCGTGAAGGCGAAGTACGCTGCCGGTCATCGACTTCCTGTCGGCCTTATCGACCGCAGAATCAGCGTTGCTAAACGCTCCCCGTCGAGACACTTTTTGGTCACGGTTTTGCGCCGGCGCTATCGTGACCTTCAAGCTCACTGTGCCCTTCACATACCGAACGATTCACTTCGCAAGCATCCAATCATGCAAGCGCGGCGCGTGTGTCTGGCGCGTGGCCTTATGCACCGCAAAGGCGATGTCGGGCTTTTTGCAGCGCGCAACCCATAGCAAGCTGCCCACGAGTAACTGGAACTCGCGTATCGTTGGGCCAGACCGCTTGTTCGACGCTCCAAGCATCTCTACTCCGTCAAGATTCTCGTCATAGCAGTCGTCACCAATCAACGCGCGCACCGAGTTTGCATCCTTAAGTCCTTTGGTACGCAGGAGATTGCCAATTACCCTCCTCCTGATCGATATTGTAGCCTCCGTCACCATTTTGCGGTGCCTAGAAACTTGCTGACGCGGCCAAGGTCTTGATAGGCAGTAAGTGAACATCAACGTGCTTTGCCTTTAGTGACGATGCCTCGACAGCCATCTGGCTGCTTGCCGTTTAGTTATCTACTTGAAGCGGCATAGGAACAGCTGGTGCAATGCCAATCTCGCTCAGCATCTCGCGAAGGCCAAGCACTTCGCGCTTCAATTACGAGACAGCGACAAAATCGGCCTTCATCATTGACAGAGACACGCCGCCCTGTTTATGCGCGCCTCGACTCACTGCCATGCCGTGAAGGCGAAGTACGCTGCCGGTCATCGACTTCCTGTCGGCCTTATCGACCGCAGAATCAGCGTTGCTAAACGCTCCCCGTCGAGACACTTTTTGGTCACGGTTTTGCGCCGGCGCTATCGTGACCTTCAAGCTCACTGTGCCCTTCACATACCGAACGATTCACTTCGCAAGCATCCAATCATGCAAGCGCGGCGCGTGTGTCTGGCGCGTGGCCTTATGCACCGCAAAGGCGATGTCGGGCTTTTTGCAGCGCGCAACCCATAGCAAGCTGCCCACGAGTAACTGGAACTCGCGTATCGTTGGGCCAGACCGCTTGTTCGACGCTCCAAGCATCTCTACTCCGTCAAGATTCTCGTCATAGCAGTCGTCACCAATCAACGCGCGCACCGAGTTTGCATCCTTAAGTCCTTTGGTACGCAGGAGATTGCCAATTACCCCCTCCTGATCGATATTGTAGCCTCCGTCACCATTTTGCGGTGCCTAGAAACTTGCTGACGCGGCCAAGGTCTTTGATAGGCAGTAAGTGAACATCAACGTGCTTTGCCTTTAGTGACGATGCCTCGACAGCCATCTGGCTGCTTGCCGTTTAGTTATCTACTTGAAGCGGCATAGGAACAGCTGGTGCAATGCCAATCTCGCTCAGCATCTCGCGAAGGCCAAGCACTTCGCGCTTCAATTACGAGACAGCGACAAAATCGGCCTTCATCATTGACAGAGACACGCCGCCCTGTTTATGCGCGCCTCGACTCACTGCCATGCCGTGAAGGCGAAGTACGCTGCCGGTCATCGACTTCCTGTCGGCCTTATCGACCGCAGAATCAGCGTTGCTAAACGCTCCCCGTCGAGACACTTTTTGGTCACGGTTTTGCGCCGGCGCTATCGTGACCTTCAAGCTCACTGTGCCCTTCACATACCGAACGATTCACTTCGCAAGCATCCAATCATGCAAGCGCGGCGCGTGTGTCTGGCGCGTGGCCTTATGCACCGCAAAGGCGATGTCGGGCTTTTTGCAGCGCGCAACCCATAGCAAGCTGCCCACGAGTAACTGGAACTCGCGTATCGTTGGGCCAGACCGCTTGTTCGACGCTCCAAGCATCTCTACTCCGTCAAGATTCTCGTCATAGCAGTCGTCACCAATCAACGCGCGCACCGAGTTTGCATCCTTAAGTCCTTTGGTACGCAGGAGATTGCCAATTACCCCCTCCTGATCGATATTGTAGCCTCCGTCACCATTTTGCGGTGCCTAGAAACTTGCTGACGCGGCCAAGGTCTTTGATAGGCAGTAAGTGAACATCAACGTGCTTTGCCTTTAGTGACGATGCCTCGACAGCCATCTGGCTGCTTGCCGTTTAGTTATCTACTTGAAGCGGCATAGGAACAGCTGGTGCAATGCCAATCTCGCTCAGCATCTCGCGAAGGCCAAGCACTTCGCGCTTCAATTACGAGACAGCGACAAAATCGGCCTTCATCATTGACAGAGACACGCCGCCCTGTTTATGCGCGCCTCGACTCACTGCCATGCCGTGAAGGCGAAGTACGCTGCCGGTCATCGACTTCCTGTCGGCCTTATCGACCGCAGAATCAGCGTTGCTAAACGCTCCCCGTCGAGACACTTTTTGGTCACGGTTTTGCGCCGGCGCTATCGTGACCTTCAAGCTCACTGTGCCCTTCACATACCGAACGATTCACTTCGCAAGCATCCAATCATGCAAGCGCGGCGCGTGTGTCTGGCGCGTGGCCTTATGCACCGCAAAGGCGATGTCGGGCTTTTTGCAGCGCGCAACCCATAGCAAGCTGCCCACGAGTGACTGGAACTCGCGTATCGTTGGGCCAGACCGCTTGTTCGACGCTCCAAGCATCTCTACTCCGTCAAGATTCTCGTCATAGCAGTCGTCACCAATCAACGCGCGCACCGAGTTTGCATCCTTAAGTCCGTTGGTACGCAGGAGATTGCCAATTACCCCCTCCTGATCGATATTGTAGCCTCCGTCACCATTTTGCGTGCCTAGAAACTTGCTGACGCGGCCAAGGTCTTTGATAGGCAGTAAGTGAACATCAACGTGCTTTGCCTTTAGTGACGATGCCTCGACAGCCATCTGGCTGCTTGCCGTTTAGTTATCTACTTGAAGCGGCATAGGAACAGCTGGTGCAATGCCAATCTCGCTCAGCATCTCGCGAAGGCCAAGCACTTCGCGCTTCAATTACGAGACAGCGACAAAATCGGCCTTCATCATTGACAGAGACACGCCGCCCTGTTTATGCGCGCCTCGACTCACTGCCATGCCGTGAAGGCGAAGTACGCTGCCGGTCATCGACTTCCTGTCGGCCTTATCGACCGCAGAATCAGCGTTGCTAAACGCTCCCCGTCGAGACACTTTTTGGTCACGGTTTTGCGCCGGCGCTATCGTGACCTTCAAGCTCACTGTGCCCTTCACATACCGAACGATTCACTTCGCAAGCATCCAATCATGCAAGCGCGGCGCGTGTGTCTGGCGCGTGGCCTTATGCACCGCAAAGGCGATGTCGGGCTTTTTGCAGCGCGCAACCCATAGCAAGCTGCCCACGAGTAACTGGAACTCGCGTATCGTTGGGCCAGACCGCTTGTTCGACGCTCCAAGCATCTCTACTCCGTCAAGATTCTCGTCATAGCAGTCGTCACCAATCAACGCGCGCACCGAGTTTGCATCCTTAAGTCCTTTGGTACGCAGGAGATTGCCAATTACCCCCTCCTGATCGATATTGTAGCCTCCGTCACCATTATGCGGTGCCTAGAAACTTGCTGACGCGGCCAAGGTCTTTGATAGGCAGTAAGTGAACATCAACGTGCTTTGCCTTTAGTGACGATGCCTCGACAGCCATCTGGCTGCTTGCCGTTTAGTTATCTACTTGAAGCGGCATAGGAACAGCTGGTGCAATGCCAATCTCGCTCAGCATCTCGCGAAGGCCAAGCACTTCGCGCTTCAATTACGAGACAGCGACAAAATCGGCCTTCATCATTGACAGAGACACGCCGCCCTGTTTATGCGCGCCTCAACTCACTGCCATGCCGTGAAGGCGAAGTACGCTGCCGGTCATCGACTTCCTGTCGGCCTTATCGACCGCAGAATCAGCGTTGCTAAACGCTCCCCGTCGAGACACTTTTTGGTCACGGTTTTGCGCCGGCGCTATCGTGACCTTCAAGCTCACTGTGCCCTTCACATACCGAACGATTCACTTCGCAAGCATCCAATCATGCAAGCGCGGCGCGTGTGTCTGGCGCGTGGCCTTATGCACCGCAAAGGCGATGTCGGGCTTTTTGCAGCGCGCAACCCATAGCAAGCTGCCCACGAGTGACTGGAACTCGCGTATCGTTGGGCCAGACCGCTTGTTCGACGCTCCAAGCATCGCTACTCCGTCAAGATTCTCGTCATAGCAGTCGTCACCAATCAACGCGCGCACCGAGTTTGCATCCTTAAGTCCGTTGGTACGCAGGAGATTGCCAATTACCCCCTCCTGATCGATATTGTAGCCTCCGTCACCATTTAGCGTGCCTAGAAACTTGCTGACGCGGCCAAGGTCTTTGATAGGCAGTAAGTGAACATCAACGTGCTTTGCCTTTAGTGACGATGCCTCGACAGCCATCTGGCTGCTTGCCGTTTAGTTATCTACTTGAAGCGGCATAGGAACAGCTGGTGCAATGCCAATCTCGCTCAGCATCTCGCGAAGGCCAAGCACTTCGCGCTTCAATTACGAGACAGCGACAAAATCGGCCTTCATCATTGACAGAGACACGCCGCCCTGTTTATGCGCGCCTCGACTCACTGCCATGCCGTGAAGGCGAAGTACGCTGCCGGTCATCGACTTCCTGTCGGCCTTATCGACCGCAGAATCAGCGTTGCTAAACGCTCCCCGTCGAGACACTTTTTGGTCACGGTTTTGCGCCGGCGCTATCGTGACCTTCAAGCTCACTGTGCCCTTCACATACCGAACGATTCACTTCGCAAGCATCCAATCATGCAAGCGCGGCGCGTGTGTCTGGCGCGTGGCCTTATGCACCGCAAAGGCGATGTCGGGCTTTTTGCAGCGCGCAACCCATAGCAAGCTGCCCACGAGTGACTGGAACTCGCGTATCGTTGGGCCAGACCGCTTGTTCGACGCTCCAAGCATCGCTACTCCGTCAAGATTCTCGTCATAGCAGTCGTCACCAATCAACGCGCGCACCGAGTTTGCATCCTTAAGTCCGTTGGTACGCAGGAGATTGCCAATTACCTCCTCCTGATCGATATTGTAGCCTCCGTCACCATTAAGCGTGCCTAGAAACTTGCTGACGCGGCCAAGGTCTTTGATAGGCAGTAAGTGAACATCAACGTGCTTTGCCTTTAGTGACGATGCCTCGACAGCCATCTGGCTGCTTGCCGTTTAGTTATCTACTTGAAGCGGCATAGGAACAGCTGGTGCAATGCCAATCTCGCTCAGCATCTCGCGAAGGCCAAGCACTTCGCGCTTCAATTACGAGACAGCGACAAAATCGGCCTTCATCATTGACAGAGACACGCCGCCCTGTTTATGCGCGCCTCAACTCACTGCCATGCCGTGAAGGCGCAGTACGCTGCCGGTCATCGACTTCCTGTCCGGCCTTATCGACCGCAGAATCAGCGTTGCTAAACGCTCCCCGTCGAGACACTTTTTGGTCACGGTTTTGCGCCGGCGCTATCGTGACCTTCAAGCTCACTGTGCCCTTCACATACCGAACGATTCACTTCGCAAGCATCCAATCATGCAAGCGCGGCGCGTGTGTCTGGCGCGTGGCCTTATGCACCGCAAAGGCGATGTCGGGCTTTTTGCAGCGCGCAACCCATAGCAAGCTGCCCACGAGTGACTGGAACTCGCGTATCGTTGGGCCAGACCGCTTGTTCGACGCTCCAAGCATCGCTACTCCGTCAAGATTCTCGTCATAGCAGTCGTCACCAATCAACGCGCGCACCGAGTTTGCATCCATAAGTCCGTTGGTACGCAGGAGATTGCCAATCACCCCCTCCTGATCGATATTGTAGCCTCCGTCACCATTAAGCGTGCCTAGAAACTTGCTGACGCGGCCAAGGTCTTTGATAGGCAGTAGGTGAACATCAACGTGCTTTGCCTTTAGTGACGATGCCTCGCCCGCCATCTGGCTGCTTGCCGTTTAGTTGTCGATTTGAAGCGGCATAGGAACAGCTGGTGCAATGCCAATCTCGCTCAGCATCTCGCGAAGGCCAAGCACTTCGCGCTTCAATTACGAGACAGCGACAAAATCGGCCTTCATCATTGACAGAGACACGCCGCCCTGTTTATGCGCGCCTCAACTCACTGCCATGCCGTGAAGGCGCAGCACGCTGCCGGTCATCGACTTCCTGTCGGCCTTATCGACCGCAGAATCAGCGTCGCTAAACGCTCCCCGTCGAGACACTTTTTGGTCACGGTTTTGCGCCGGCGCCATCGTGACCTTCAAGCTCACTGTGCCCTTCACATACCGAACGATTCACTTCGCAAGCATCCAATCATGCAAGCGCGGCGCGTGTGTCTGGCGCGTGGCCTTATGCACCGCAAAGGCGATGTCGGGCTTTTTGCAGCGCGCAACCCATAGCAAGCTGCCCACGAGTGACTGGAACTCGCGTATCGTTGGGCCAGACCGCTTGTTCGACGCTCCAAGCATCGCTACTCCGTCAAGATTCTCGTCATAGCAGTCGTCACCAATCAACGCGCGCACCGAGTTTGCATCCATAAGTCCGTTGGTACGCAGGAGATCGCCAATCGCCTCCTCCTGATCGATATTGTAGCCTCCGTCACCATTAAGCGTGCCTAGAAACTTGCTGACGCGGCCAAGGTCTTTGATCGACAGTAGGTGAACATCAACGTGCTTTGCCTTTAGTGACGATGCCTCTCCCGCCATCTGGCTGCTTGCCGTTTAATTGTCGATGTGAAGCTGCATAGGAACAGCCGGTGCAATGCCAATCTCGCTCAGCATCTCGCGGAGGCCAAGCACTTCGCGCTTCAATTCCGAGGCAGCGACAAAATCGGCCTTCATCATTGACAGAGACACGCCGCCCTGTTTATGCGCGCCTCAACTCACTGCCATGCCGTGAAGGCGCAGCACGCTGCCGGTCATCGACTTCCTGTCTCCCCCGCGCGGCCTTATCGACCGCAGAATCAGCGTCGCTAAACGCTTCCCGTCGAGACACTTTTTGGTCACGGTTTTGCGCCGGCGACATCGTGACCTTCAAGCTCACTGTGCCCTTCACATACCGAACGATTCTCTTCGCAAGCATCCAATCATGCAAGCGCGGCGCGTGTGTCTGGCGCGTGGCCTTATGCACCGCAAAGGCGATTTCGGGCTTTTTGCAGCGCGCAACCCATAGCAAGCTGCCCACGAGTGACTGGAACTCGCGTATCGTTGGGCCAGACCGCTTGTTCGACGCTCCAAGCATCGCTACTCCGTCAAGATTCTCTTCATAGCAGTCGTCACCAATCAACGCGCGCACCGAGCTTGCATCCATAAGTCCGTTGGTACGCAGGAGATCGCCAATCGCCTCCTCCTGATCGAGATTGTAGCCTCCGTCACCATTAAGCGTGCCTAGAAACTTGCTGACGCGGCCAAGGTCTTTGACCGACAGTAGGTGAACATCAACGTGCTTTGCCTTTAGTGACGATGCCTCTCTCGCCATCTGGCTGCTTGCCGTTTAATTGTCGATGTGAAGCTGCATAGGAACAGCCGATGCAATGCCAATCTCGCTCAGCATCTCGAGGAGGTCAAGCACTTCGCGCTTCAATTCCGAGGCAGCGACAAAATCGGCCTTCATCATTGACAGAGACACGCCGCCCTGTTTATGCGCGCCTCAACTCACTGCCATGCCGTGAAGGCGCAGCACGCTGCCGGTCATCGACTTCCTGTCGGCTTTATCGGCCACAGAATCAGCGTGGCCTTATCGACCGCAGAATCAGCGTCGCTAAACGCTTCCCGTCGAGACACTTTTTGGTCACGGTTTTGCGCCGGCGACATCGTGACCTTCAAGCTCACTGTGCCCTTCACATACCGAACGATTCACTTCGCAAGCATCCAATCATGCAAGCGCGGCGCGTGTGTCTGGCGCGTGGCCTTATGCACCGCACAAGGCGATGTCGGGCTTTTTGCAGCGCGCAACCCATAGCAAGCTGCCCACGAGTGACTGGAACTCGCGTATCGTTGGGCCAGACCGCTTGTTCGACGCTCCAAGCATCGCTACTCCGTCAAGATTCTCTTCATAGCAGTCGTCACCAATCAACGCGCGCACCGAGTTTGCATCCATAAGTCCGTTGGTACGCAGGAGATCGCCAATCGCCTCCTCCTGATCGAGATTGTAGCCTCCGTCACCGTTAAGCGTGACCTCAAACTTATGTGGTGAAGTGGGCTTTTTAAACTGCGTAATGAGACCTCATGCCACTCACTGTGCCGGACTACCGAATGTCGGAGCGGGTATCCCGATGCCGCGTATAGACCTTCTCTCACCTTGTGTACCCGTCGGCTGGCGGGTTGTACTCTTCTGAGGACTTGGTTGAGATGTGATGTCGGCCTTATGAGAGGTCGACCTTGGGGTGCCTCGAGTGGATATACTTTACTCGATAGGCGAGTATGTGGTTGCTCGGTCGGCTAGGTCGAGGTTGGACTTATAACCAAATTCTTCAGGGGAGATTCTCAACCCTGGCCTTTTCCTTCCTTTTCCTTGATATCTCAGGGGTGTTAACCGCCTGGCTTTACTTGCTCCCGAATCACTAGGGTAGGGAGACCGCTTCCGATAGCCCCTCCATAAAGACTGTGACGGTCACTGCCTCAGGCAGACGGTCTATGACCATGGCAGCAATGAGAGTTCTCAACTCTTGCACATATGCCGCAAGCTCACGCTTAACTTGTCGACACGCCAAAAATTGCGACCGATTTGGTGAGCTTGGTTTGGCAGTGTATACCGCCGGTTCATCTGAGCTTTCAGATCGTCCAATGTGGGAAATGCATCTTGCAGTGATGCGCCGCATGTGAATGTCCATTGCTTTGCTAAGCAGCCCAGTAGGCTCGGGGTGCTCTAATGGGGATGAACTGAGCTTTGTTGAACATCTAGGATGTTGAAGTAAGCAGGTCTCAGCCACAAAGAGATGCAAACTCTCGAAAATGGAGCGAAAATGCATGCCAGGCATGCTAATCATCGAAGGGACGATTAAGGACTTTGATAAGCCATGGACAAAGACAAAGTTCATTACGTCAGCGAATACATTCGAGATCGACGATGCAGTACACTCCTTATCTTTATGGTCGATTGCAACTCCTGCAGATGACGCTTTCCATTGTATTCCAGTGCTTGTCATTGTTAATAACTGATACAAGTCGTTTTTATTTCTATTGCTCTTAAAATCTACAGGTAAACGTGCTGTATTGATTATTAAAAGGGTATAATTGAGTGACGATTATTATGCATTTGTCTATTTATCATATTTCTTACGCTTCATAGCGCATTAAACTCACTCTCAAAGTCACTGTCATTAATTTCTTCATAAATCCATTCATCTGTCTCCATTCCACCAGCATCCATTGTAAATAAATCACCTTCTGCTTAGTTTTGATAATACATAAATATACCAATACACCAAATGAGTCATAAACCCTTCCGCCACATCATGCAGTATCAATCAGAATAATCTTTTCTCGTACCGCTACAAGTCTCCCAGTCCAGCATGTCAGCAGCTAGTTGTTCTGTCTCCGACTGCATTGACGTTTCCGTCTGTTTGTGCCTCTTTTGCATAGTAGCTGTAGCAGCAGGTTGGAAAGTTCTCTTCCGCTTCGCTGTTTGCAGAGCTGTACCCCATACATTTGAACGCTGTGTCTGTTAAGTTAGCTTTGACACTTTTGTGGTGGTCCGTCGTGATTGTGCATCAGCAAGCTCACTGATTTGTGATATCACATGGAGCTGTGATCGAGGTGATAGTTGTAATTCATGGTCAAGTGCTTGCACATTATGAGCTACATAGATAGACAGACAGCAACAGACAGAATGAATGAATGAATGAGTATCAGTATACATCTGTCTCCAATATGAATCTAGTTTCTTTGTCACATACGTTTCTCCTTTTGATTCGTAAACTTGGTACAATTCAATGATTCTTCTGTCACCTGATGCGTCTTCTCTAATGTCCATAGACATGGAGAAAGTAGTGAATCTTCGTCCCATACCGTCTCGGTATCACTAAGAGGCATTAATATTATTATTATCCATCAATCAAGTTGAAGTGTGGCTTTGATCTTCCTCACTAAATCCGATTACGTACTTGACCGAATCAATACAATTTCTTGTCATCTACATCTAATAATGACATTAGTATTATTATAGTATCCTATTATCATGGAGTTACGTTTCCGTGGTAAAACTAATACCGAGGATACTGTCGGGTTCTGGTACGTCTTCACATGTAAATGTATTGTCAAACACACTATTGTTTGTAATGTGTTGGTTTATGATATATGATGGTCTTATTACAGGCTTTGTAAAGGTCTGAAGAAACGTTATGTATTTGGTAAGAAGATATTATCACTGACATCGACTGTAGCTGAATGGGAGCTTCTAGACGTATTAGAAGACAAGGAATTACATTTTCTGAACGAATCTACGGGTCTTGTCATACCTCAAGATGAAGCAATTGCAAAATCTATATCCGATCGTGATGTTGTACGACTTTGTTCGACGGTAGAACTAGAAGCGCTACAGGAAAAGTTTGCAACACGTGACCAGGAAGTGACGAATGAGATGATGAATTCTAAGGCTACAACACCAATTGGTGCGGCGCTGTAAGTTTTCTATGAGGTGTTAGGTTTTCGTATCGAGTTGAGGATTTATTTGATGACGTTTTCTTTACTTGTGCTTTGCAATTGGGAATTGAAACAGGTCCCGACTCAAGAAAATTGGCGCTTCGAACCCGACGCTTATGAAACTGCAAATGTAAATGTGTATATATGTATTATGTGTATGTATGTAATGTATAAATATATGTATGTAATGTATGCAGTTCAATAGATACTAACAACTTAGATAAATTCACTCAAATAGTGCGTAATGCTAACACATGATCACTGGCATGGCATGTCCATCGACGATATTGATGCAGTAGACGCCGTTGAGTCAGCACTGCATTCACTCAGACTCCTTTTCTTTCGCGGCATACTCGCCACCTCCTTTGCTAATGCAGTGTGATTTCTTCTCTTGAGTTCCTCAATTCGACTTTTCATGCTCTTAATCTGTTCCAACCATCGTTCATTCTTCTCAAAATCAAGCAAACGAGACTCCGACTTCTCAATCCGAGCAACAAAAGCACCGTAGTACGCAGCAGGAGAACGCACTCGGTTAGAAACAGGGACCGACGGTGATACGACTACTGGCTCATTCGCGTCCTTCAAGCTGCAAGAAGACACGCGAGTGCGAAATGCATCGTCTACAGTAGATTTCCTCTTTAAATAGGCAGCTAAATGGAACTCGCGTGATTTTGGCTGCGGGATCTTGCTCACAAAGTTCGGTAGTACACGCGACTGAGGTAGTCTAGAGCCTTTGCTCACTGTCGGTCGAGCGCTTGACTCCTGGCATCTGATACTCGACTGGATGTGTTTCTGCTGTACCTCCATTTTCTCCATCTGTACCTCCATCTTCTATAGGTTGTTGGGACTCCTTGATCACGACAGACTTGTTCTGACGGACACTCTTGGTCAGAACAAAATCTTCAGGCTGTTTCAGCCCATCGTAGTACCTCGCCAATCGAAGAACGTTACTGCGGTTAGGTAATGGTTCCAGCAATTGTTTCGATGTATCCACCCTTGCCGAAACGGCCATGGTTTCAAACATCTTAACAAGACTTTGCACGGTCATCACTGAAAAAATTGGAAATGAACTGAGCTTGATAGTAGAACTACGTTTGACGTACGTGAAGAGGACACGACGAGAGCTTTTTGAAAAATGAAAGTCAATCCCTCGAATGTTTTTGGATGATCGCGTCAATGGATGGAATGACGCGCTTGTCTGCTTTTTTTCGAAGCATTTTGGCGCCAATCTTCATGGAATGATTCGATTGGTTACAAGACAGACAGAAGAGACAGACAGCAGAGACAGACAGACACAAAGCGACTTAATTGCTTGAACATGAGGTTTTTTTTGAGATAATAGTATCCTTTGCTTGAGATGTTCTTTTATTATTTTCCATAAATTCGTGGTTATTAATAGTTCGATTGGTGAAATAAATACACAGAAAAAGAGCCAGACAGAAGAGACAGACACACACAAAGCGACAGACAGAAGAGACAGACAGACACAAAGCGACTTAATTTGTTTAACCTGAGGTTTTTTGAAATCATAGTATCCTTTGCTTGAGATGTTCTTTTATTGTTTTTCCATAAATACATGACTATCAGTTCTGGGACTCAAGTTGACGTTGAAATTACGGCAATTCTGATCTGGCTCATCATTATGCATCTACTTAGTGAAGTGGCACCAAAGCTCACGCCCAACGCAACATTGTAATGTTAAATTATGCATGACTTTAATAACAGGTATTACAATCTATTCATTAGATTAAAACTAGTATTAAAAACGGGTAGTGCTTTACTATGCAATAATTACTGAGATGCATTTTGCCGCATCCAATCCATTCTTCTTCATCTTCTTTTCCTAAACAAATGTCTGACAATACAGAAAGATACAAACGATGTAAACGAAACATCAGATCGAAGTTGGCATGCAGACTGCGTTGCAATCATACAAGCAAAGATCGTTTGCGAAGCAGCTAGAATCAAGACGCGGTAGTGACTGACTCATAGTTAGTCCATCACTTTATCAACATAATAAGTACATACAATCAAACATATTCCATATAGCTTTTCATTAGTCATAATCATCTATTTATGAAAAAAATAACAGAACAAATCAAGCAGAGAATACTAGAGAGAAAAACCTCATGTTAAAAAAACTGAGTCGCTTTGTGTCTCTTCCTGCTGGCTATTTCATGACGAAATGTAACGTAGATCGCCAGAGACTACTCAAGGCAGTCAATAAAGACACAACGCTAACTGACTTACCTATTCATTGAGCTTGCTACTATGAGCGAGTGAGTCTACATTCTGCAACTTTGTCGAATCATATTCAATAGTGCATCTTTCTTCTCCAATGAATCCATCGTGAACACACGAGTTTCTGTTTCATACCATCATGACAAGTGACAAGTTTATCCCAATTAATATGGTCCATATAGTATACACATTGCTAGTGATGGTTTTCTTACCGATGTCTCCGTTGTTGTTTCTTCCTGACGCATTAAAAGTAAATACCTTGTCATTACTCTTGTCAATGACTGCTTGAGGCTTTTCAATCTTGAATAAAAGAGTCACAAACACAAGTCAGCATCTAACATTCTACAGGCATAACGTCAATCAAACAAACACCTACCACAAGCTGGAGATTTGGTTGAGAACCTTCATTAGCATCCTCTTCACATTTCCACAGCAAAAAGCGATATGAACGATAGACCAAAAAGCAGGTCTAGCAACACAAATACAATTGGAAATTAGTCAGTCAAAGTCTCTCCATCAAAACAAAGAGAAAAAAGCGAACGGAGTAACACCTTTGCATGACGTTCGCCTTCAGCTTTTGTGAATACGTTTCCAATCCATAATGCGTGATAACGAAGACGAAGCGCCGTTTCTTCGTCCTTTTCTTGCTGTACTTTGCGTGTTTTCATGTAAATAGCACGCTCGGGTTCGTAGAGCTCGATTAGATCTTGGTCGGTAGGAAGAGACGACAAGTAATTCCACACAATCTTCTTAAGCCGTTTGCTGGTCGGAGCATCGTTCACAAACACCGCACCAAATTCGGTTAGACCAAAAACGAGAATCGCCCAGCGGCCACGAATAACTGAAAACACCAACGACATCATAGCTATTCCAACAAAGACGGTTGCAGTTTTCCACGGATGTGTCCAGTTCAATAGATTCTCTGCACATGCTAATGCTCCACATGCACGACCAATCTCCGTTTGCAGCTGCCTGATTGTGTCTTTTGCTTTCCAAAACGCGTCTAAAAGGTGTGCACCAAGGACTTTTGACTTTTCTTTTTCGACCATGCTTTCACATACAAACTCGGAAAAGTTGCGCTCCACATGACCCACTCGTCGCTTCTTTCGCGATACAGTTGGTTGAGCTGGTCTCACTTCCTCTAACTCACACTTTTTGCTCACGAAACATTTCTCATTTGACGACATCTTGCTTTCCTCAGGAATTTCAAAGCCAACGCGTGCAACCAGATAATCGCCATCCAATTCTTTTGAATGCTGAGAAGGAAGAGCACAATTGTCATTTGGTGTGGAGAAGGAAGACAGCGGGAGACGTAATTCACACGACTGACCGTTTTGCTTCAGAAGGCTTCGGAGTGGAATTGTCGTCGTTGCAGCAATCAGATCTGGTGACTCCTTTGCTTCGCCACTCAAAGAAACGCACAAATCAAATTGCAGAAGACCAGGAAATGACGGCCACGGTACCAAATCATCGTGACCAGAAAAGTTTTTCCGAGATGCTTGTGGGATTGGGAAGTAGAAGGCATGGTGATCGACGCCACAGCTAGTGGCTGCAGCAGACGCGTCAGCTGCATCATTTAAGCTTCGCTGATGTGCGGAACATTGGTCGCAGGTGCATATCTTTGAATCATGACGCCAAGATACGTTAAAATTCCGGAACGGAAGTGCTTTTCGAAGGTTTGCAGCAAGCACAGTAGCAGCTGATGGCAGCGAGGTTTTGCGCCAAGTTGGATTCCGACTTTTGCTCACAACATTCGTCCAGGCAACAATAGCCTCATCGTAGCCAGAAGGGTTAAATACCATGTCCCTCGTTTTCGACTGCTTGTCATTTGGTCGGTACTTAATTCGAACATAGTACCCAAGCTTTGACGAGGAAATATCCTTCATACGTGACTGCGATTCAATGAGAAGACTGTCCGTCTCGTGAGATAGATGTGCTTCGTGCACAGCCACATGCAAGTCAGCTAATGGCCTGTACAGCTTCTGCTGTTCCTCTTGTTCAAACTCGTATTCCTCATAACCAATCCAGCGTGCAACATAAGCCCCTTCTAGCCGGAGATGCAGTCGATACAGCATATACATGAGGATCGCACCACATATGTAAGACAGCGCGTATTCGAAGTCAGCAAACACACACATGTATACAAAAGTAGCAAAGCACACCGCTGATTTTTTCTTGTTTTTCCACGAAATTATGCTGGCGTAGTTAGCATCAATCCCTTGAAAAACCTTCAGCGCCCTGCCAAACCGCTCGATTGTAATCCGCAGTGATTCGACCGAAAACTCTTTGTCTTCGCGTTTGAGAAGATAAGCGTCCTCGTTTGCACGTACGCGAAGCAGGTCTTCCTTGTGCTCCACATATTTTAGCTCAATTAGTGCAAGACCAAGCTTTTCACCAGGCTGCAGTTTAGATCCCAGAGGTGGCGAGAGCTCAAACTGTTCCTTGTCGTCCAAAGTGGGCAATGCTGCCCATGAATCGTTAACTGCAGCTTGATTCAGCTCATTATTTAGGCTGAAATGGCGAAGAGGCTTGCGCAAACTGGTCAGTATCGGATTTGTTCGAATGAACTTGTCAGCTTCGCGCTGGAGTAGCTGAAAGAGTGAAACGTTAAATTGAGCAATGCACAGATCTGAATTGAAATCAATCACTTCAATGTGGAATGCCGAGTTCGGATGCCGAACCTTAAAGCATAAATTCTCCATGCACATCGGGTCAGCGCTTTTCAGTACAGGACTCGTTTCATGCACAATGCCGTCAAAATGAATACGACAGTAGGTGTCCCCTTCGAAGATATTCTTCGCGTGAAAATCGTCGCGACAATGTTTAGTACACAAATGCAAACCGCGAAAGTTCACAAAAAGTTCCCCCGCGGAACGTGGCACACCATCATGTAGTACGCGGTAAGTGATGCCTCCACGCTCTTTTTTCTCCTGTGCAACGCTCAGTAATTGTTGGGCCACACATTCGCATTGGATCGTAGCCTTCATAATGCATCCTTTGTGAACGTCAATTTCACAAAATTCACAGCGATAACCCCACACACTCTTCAATGCATTCATGATAGACCGGTCGCCTAACACAGAGCAAAGGAAATATATGAGTACACCTATTCAACCTATGATTAAAGCCTTGTCATGTCTGGACGTACAAACTGCGCAAACAGGAATCGCGAGCCCAATGGATTTGAGTTGATGGACACGGAACTTGTGTGCGTTAGTCAAACTGACGTCTCCTTTTGTCGGCACAAATTTGATCGCGAGCATAATTTTGGGCTGCCCTGTGCTATGTGTAAGCATGGAACGAGATGATAAAGTAAACCACCTTTTTGCCTCAATGTGCGGGTATCGGAGCAGA